TTTCACAGTGCAGTGAACAATTCTGAGCCAGGACAGAGATATCAATGGAAGGTTTGGCCACAGGGTTGCCAAAATAGCCCTACTATTTGTCAATGGTATGTGGCTCAGCCTTTGTCTGGAGTCCGTTAGCAGTTTCCTGACACGTATTGTTATCATTACATGGATGACATCTTAGTAGCAGCTTCTACTCAGGATGAGTTGCTGAGGATAGAACCTTGGCTGCTCGCTGCTGTACACTGTTATAGGCTGCAAGTGGGTCCAGAAAAGGTCCAGCAGCAACCTCTTGGAGATAATTTAGGGGTCAAGATCCTGGATCAGATGATTCAGCATCAAGAGACGCAATTCGCAGATTCCATAAAAACTTTGAATGCTGGGTGTTATCGGTTGGTTGTGTCCTTACTTAGGAGTGACCACCAAGCAATTGTCCCTGCTTTTCAGTATCTTGAAGGAGGACTCTCGCTTGGATACTGGGTACACTGGACCCTCCTGGATCCTTCTGCACACCAAACAAAACTATAAGAGAACTCTTAACACAAAACCTAAGTGTTAACTGTGGGCTTATTGCTCTCACAATACAACTATAGCTAAACTTTTCTCTACTTAATTTAACACGTCTCTGCTTTAAGCTTAAAATCTACATTCTTGCCTCTAGCATCTAAGCTGGGAAGCTTTTCCCAAGGCCTCAGGTGAAATCCTGTATTCTTCTCTAAACTTTGATTTACAGGCCCCAATGTTCTGCACATTCCTTGCATTTTGAATTCAAACATCTCCCCCTTGTCTTTGCACCAAAAACACTCATTTGATAGCTTTTTAATCATCCTTCGCATGCATTGGAGCAGACAAGGCACTGCTAGATGTATAATTATGATGACAATCAATATATACATGCCTATCTTTAAAATCTCTTTTCACCCTGGTGCAAGGTTCAATTTATCAAGTAGATCATCCAACCATGTCCCATCATCAACTTTGAGCTTAGCTACATCATCCTCCAGTTGTTATATACTTTTATGAATGGATTCCGAATAATCAGATAGGTTCATGCAACAAATTCCATCAAAATCTTCACACACATGTCCATGCACTAGTGAAAGGAAATCTATTGCTGCTCTGTTTTGTAAGAATTTTGTAAGAATTGCATGTCTTACATCTTTCACATTGGCTAACAAACCACTCAATGCAAGAGAAGTAGCATTGGTCTGCTTACTTAACCAGCAACCAATCCAATTGCTTTAGGGCTACTGCTGAGGCAAGTTGATGTAAAAATACAGATGCTGAGAATCTTTTTCCAAAGCCCCAGCATTCAAAATCATCTTTACAGTCTGATTTATACTGATGGATAAACCCTTTTCCTCTGTGTCTATGTTCTTTAATCATATTTACACTAGGTGTCAGCAAGGTAAGCCTTCCAATGCTACATGGACCACCTATGGTGTTTGATGGAATGGCTGGCCAAGCTCTATCTCCACAGATAAAAAACATTCCCCATGGTAATTGTAAAGGAGTACAATAAGGTGCTGAAAACATAACTGAGGTATACTTATACCAAGAATCCATATCTTTGTACACAGGGTGATTAGGGAGTGACATCTAAAGTTTTGCCTTTGTTTTGTTCAAGCCCAGGAATGTCGAATTTGATGCAAAAATCTATTTTCACAGAACCAAGTATTTCCAATTCTTGGGGTTCAAAGGATGTTTTGGGAAGGAATTTGTTCCAAACATCCTATCCATCAGAAGGATTTATAATGAATTGTGAAAGATATGGAGGAATGGCTTTTGTTATTGACCAAGTATCTACTGGCAAACCAACTAACCCAAGTTGAAAATGGTTTTTCAGGGCTTGAGTGAGTTAAATATATGGTGTCCAAGCCTGATACATTGGCTAAGGTTACCCAAATATTGGTTTTTGGCTGAGCAACAGGAAAAACCACACTACTGAGGGAAAAAAACCCAAAAAGACATAAACATGATGTCAGATTTAACTCCATTTTCACAGTTCTTGTATGTAAAGCAAAATGTGTTTGTCTTCTGTTGCAGTCCTTGTACAGTTCCCGTTTGAGTGCTCACTTCTCTGCTTTCGTGGTCATCTGCGTATTGATATGGCTTCACAATCTTTGCTTGAATCCACTTTGGTCCTAAACCTGTGGAAACACAAGCATACTCTTTGCCCCAGGTTATTAGTGGAAATGGACCTCCAATTTGTCTTGTTTCTGGGTTTCTGGTTGGTTCTGCAAAAAAATTTAAAATAAGACTCTGTTTAAACACATCTGAGGTGTTATTTAACATGAACAGAATAGACAACTGGGGATACAAGCATCATAAAGTCACCCTAAGACACTTCTGTCTTCCCCCATCTTTTGATTTCAAAAACAGCACGAGTCTCATCATAAATATGAAAAGAACACCAATACAAAAAATAGTGAACCCAGATACAACAATCAACAATACCTCAAATGACAGACACACATATATGAAATTAGGCAATCAACAGTCCTTGAAACACTGTGTCATCACCCCAGAGTCTGCAAGCAGCCTCGATTCATTGAGGAATTCGATGATCATCTCCGGATAATGAACATCAAATTCACCCGAAAATTAGGTTCAGCTGTCATATTGATAGGGTCAAATTGCCAAGTCAAAGTGACTCAAATGTTGTTTAGATGCAGAAAACACCTGGATCCGTTGACAATTTCCCATCCAGGTAGAGTTAAGGCCTGGCCACAACCTAAACTCTAATTGGAAGGGAATTCCCTGACACATTTTTTAGAACAAAACTCTTAAGAACAGAAACTGCAAGGAAAGGTCTCAAGGTGAGAAAATTATCAAATCCATTTAACAACTGGTTCCCTCCCAAGTTTTTCTTAAGATAGAGATGCTTCAAACATGGCAAGTTGCTGGAGTGCTTCTGTAATAATAACTGGGAAAAACCACAAGACTAGTAGTTCAGAGGAGGCTTTCAATGGAGCTCAGATATCTTTTCTTGGAACTCTGAAAAATACTTAACATTATGAGACATCACTGGGTCAGATCATAGGAAACCTGCTGAAACAAGAGAAGGGACTAAAGACAGAAAAACCAGTGCATGGACCAGCTAGAGAGTCAACGTGGTTGAGGAGATGCATTTGCAGCTAGAGAACAAAAAAGGAAGGATCCTGAAATGACACAAGTCTTTCAGACAATAACACAAAGAGATGTCAAAGTACATAAGAAGCCAGCTATAAATACAGTAATAACATCTTATGAATAATGCCTATTATAAACTCTGTGAATTTACATCATATAATCAATATATCAGTGTTGGAACCTTGAAGCCTGAGAGTTTTGAACTTTCTGTGCTTTCTGAAACTGACCCTCAAAAGAGCACTGCTTTTGACTTGAGGCCTTAGAGAAGGCTTCCAGAATTGAGTGATGGAGTTAGAATCACTTGTGCGTAGTTTGAATAGAAGTGTGTAATGTCACATGGTGAAAGGTTTGGAATTTGGGGTTTTAGAATATAGTAATAGGTATTGGAATATAATGGAAGTTTAGGGGAGGTGGCTTTTCTTCCTTCTTGTTCCTTCGTCTCCTTCATTTTAGATAGCATTTTTTGGTTAGGTAGAAAGTACAGCTGTGTGGGTCACAAGTGTTTGGTCATTGGGTCAAAAGAATAAATAATATAGATTATAGTTTTTAATTAGACAGTTGGGCTTTAAAATACCTTGTAACTAGCAAGATCCACCAACATTTTCTCACTTTTAGCTTGTTAGCTAGAAGTGCTGTAGAACTCACTTTACTATAAATAAAAATTAATAAACAACCCCGTCCAAACACAAAACATCATCTTTCATGCTTTCAAGCCCGACTCTGACTGAAAGCAAAGAAAGCAAAAGAAAGATAAAATCTAATATTTAGTTCCCCGTGTGACAATTGAACTCATGTCCTTCAGATTGTGAAACTGATAATAATTAAAATACCTTATGACTGCATATATATTGCCTCAATAATCTTAACAGATTCACAATTCATGCTATGGGAAGTCAAATGGAAAAGAACTCTCATCAAATTGAGAGAGACTTATGCTGGAGGTCCAAATACAACCCTCACATTATCACAATTACAGGAGATGCTCTTCATGATAAACCAGAATATCAGTCAGTGGTCCTGCCTCGAGAAGTAATTGTGGACACACTGTTAGAAAGCTAGGAAAATTACAGCCCGGAAAGCCACTTCCAGGCCAGAGCTTCTCAGCTCCATTCCCAGGCTGATAGGATGGTTCAGCTTCAGTTGGGGAGAAATTCTCCCAGGATGATAATCTGGTCAAAACAGAATGGAATTCACAATAAATATTAACACCTCGTGTTGACTGTAGGACACATTCAAAAGTACTGTCTCACAGATGTTTTTCCCAATTATCCAATGAGCTACTGTCCTGTCTTAGCTCTCTGTAACATGCTTTAAATACGGGTTGCCCGTTCAATAAAGTTGGTCCTTTTTCCCTAAAGAGGCCTGCTTGTGTTGCTGTTCTTGCTGTCTCTTTCTCTCTCTCTCTAGTGCAGTGACCACAAGTAATCACAGATATCAATAAAGCAGCTCAAAAACCATTCTGCAAATCCAACCTACTGAAGTTCCAGAGGGTATTTATACAGAAGTAAAGCAAGGAGTATCTGAGCCATTTACCTCTTTCATAGATTGCCTGACTCAAGCAGTAGCAATCATTTGTCCCTCTGTTGTGCAGAAATCCCTCAGAATACGGAGAAGAAATGTCCTATCACAATGGGGAACAAGAATAAAAGTAGATTTTTAATAGGGGTCACTGAGGCACTCACCACCCTGCAATTAACCAGGAAGACAGACAATCCTGACTGGGTGGACCACTGGCCCCTGGAAAAAGAAAATTGAGTGCTCTCAAAAAACAAGTGGAAGAGCGATTGCAGAAAGGCCATGTCAAATCAACAAATAGTCCCTGTAATTCTCCAGTGTTCATCACCATAAAAAAACTTCAAATTCATGGAGATTGCTCCATGACCTCAGAAAAAACAAGGTCATTGAAGAAATGGGACTACTTCAGCTTGGACTTCCATCTCTCTCAATGATACTGAGAGAGTGGTCACTTGTAATTATTGATTTAAAAGACTGTTTTTCCAACATCCTACTTCATCCAGATGATGTTCCTCAATTTGCATTTTCTGACCCAAGCATCAACAAAGAAGAACCTTTGCAAAGATATAATTGGGTGGTCCTTCCTCAAGGACTCAAAAATTCACCAACGATTTGCCAATGGTTTGTGGCACGAGCCTTGTCTCCAGTGCAAGAGAAATATCCGCAAGCGATGATCATACATTCCACGGATGATCTGCTCATTGCAGTGCCAATGCAGAAAGAAGTGCAAGAAGCTCGTGACAGCATGACTGCAGAAATTCAAAAGGCAGGACTGGAAGTTTCTACATCAAAAATCCAGGTAGTCTTGCCATGGAAACACTTGGGATGGAAGATTTCAGAGCAAGCAATCAGGCCACAGAACATACATCTGAGAACCAATGTCCACAATTTGCAAGATCTACAGCAGCTTTTGGGAGAAATCAATTGGATCAGACCAATTCTGGGAATCACCAACAATGAACTTATGCCACTTTTCGACTTATTGAGAGGAGACTGCAACATCAAATCTCCGAGAACTCTCACACCTGAAGCTTAAAAGGTCCTTGACAAAGTTGCTGAAGCCCTCCAACAAAGACAGGCACATAGTTGTGCAATGTCACAACCATTCTTTCTTGGAGTTAGGAGAAAGAATGCAACTGTATGGTCTCATATTTCAGTGGACACCTCAAAAAAAGATCCTTTGCTAATCATTGAGTGGGTTTTCTTGTCCTACAAAACCCCAAAAACAATTTTTACAATGTTAGAAATGACAGCCCAAATCATAATCAGGGCCAGAGCAAGACTGTTAGCAATAGCAGGCAAAGATTTCAAAACAATTTATCTGCCATTGAAAAAATAATGAAAAAACCCATGTTGAGTGAAGTTCCATTGGACACAATAACGCTGTTTACCGACGGTTCAGGAAAAAGAAATCAATTATAACATGGCAAAATCCAAAGCCAAAGACATGGGAGTCAGATATTCAAAAAATAGAAGTTTCTCCTCAAATTGTGGAATTGGCAGCAGTGGTCAGAGCATTTCAATTGTTTCAGGAACCCCTCATTTTAATAACAGATTCAGCTTATGCAGCCAATGTAGACAAAACAATCCAAAGGTCACTTTTAACAGACAATTGATAATGAAGATTTGTATCATTATCTTTCATGTATGCAACAAATTTTGCAACACAGAAAGAGCAAATACTTCATATCTCACATCAGGGCACATTCTTCTCTCCCAAGATTTTTGGTGGAAGGCAATGCAGAAGCAGACAAATTAATAATGCCAATTGCAGACACCTTGCCAAACATTTTTAAGCAGGTAAAGTTGAGTCATGCCTTTTTTCATCAGAATGCACAGGCACTTATGTGAGCATTTCATATCTCCAGAGATCAAGCGAGAGCAATCATAAGTGCTTGTTCTAATTGTCAACTCATGCAATTTCCTGTATCCACTGGAGCAGTGAATCCGAGAGGGTTACAAAGTCTGCAGTTGTGCTAAACAGACATCACATAATACCCATCTTTTGGGAGATTCAAAAATGTTCATGTATCAAAGGACACCATTTAAGGTGCAGTCTTTGCTCCTTGCATACAGGAGAAACAGTGGAACATGCATGTCAGCATTTTTAACAGGTATTTGCTTCATTAGGTGTGCTTCATGAGATCAAAACAGATAATGGGCTGGCCTACATAGCCCAAAGGCTCAAGACATTCATAATGAATTGAATAATCACACCTTTGGCATCCATCACTCCCCCACAGTTCAGACAATCATTGAGAGAACACACCAAACTTTAAAATCCCGCTTGGAAAAACAAAAAAGGGGGGAGGCACAGGCTACCCCTCAAATGGACTTGAACAAAATATTCTATGTTTTAAATTTTTTAAACAGTTCTTTTGCTGAACCAAATCCATCAATCATCAGACGTTTTTCCAACATCACACAGGCAAAATTAAAGGAAAATCCTTTAGTTTTGATAAAAAATCCAGAAACAGGAAAAATTGAAGGTCCATTTCCACTAATAACATGGGGTAAAGGCCATGCTTGTGTCTGCACAGGTTCTTGTCTGAAGTGGATTTCTTTAGAAGAACCTGAAACCCTATCAACTGCAGACACACACAAATGATCCCAGAAGCAAAGAAAAGAGCATGCAGATGTGAACTGCAGTCTTGATGATAAATATCTTTTGTCCCATATGCAGAAGCTGTGAACTTTGGGGTTTATGCTAATGCAAAAGGTGTGGGAGTCGTTGGTGCTGTAGAGCTTTGTTGCCAAGAGTGCAATGTGGATTGTGTTACAACTCTGAATTTCATACGAGGCATAAGGCCATTGATAAAGAAATAACTTAGTGCCCTTCATTTGGCCTTGAATCAGAAAGAAAACCAACAAGAAATATGAAACTAAATCAGATATCATACTTGTGCCTTATTACTTCATTGTTTGCCTTAAGTAATGCGACCCTGCCCACGAATCAACCAAAAAGTAACTCTTGTAGGAATTACCATATGACTTTTGTTCATAAAACATAATAATTTGGAAGCCGCCAATTCTCATTGTGCCCCTGGGGGTAACAATTCTGGGTCACTGGCGAAGCGCCTGATGATTTTGCAGATGGGATCTGATTGAGGTTCTCCAAGCAGTCTACCTTAAGAGGGGTTTTGGGTGTTTGAGCCACTGCCACAGCTTGTGTCTCCATGTGGTGGGCTTACATGTTCTTCTTGGTGTTTCCCGAGAGGGGTTTTCCGTCTATATCTGTCTTGGAGCGACATTGACTTTCATAATGCCTCCCTCTCCTGCATCTGGAGCAGCGACCCAGTGGCTTTATGGTTTCTGGGGATTCTGAACAAAATTTGCTTATATGTCCAGGCTTTCCACATTTAAAGCATGTTTTGGTGACTCTTGTTTGCATTACAGCCATGGAATTGTTCTTTTGAAGAGTCACATTCATAGATGAAAGGGCTTTTATAAGTCTTTGGTCTGCAGCTTCACTAAGAGCTGCAAAGGCTTTTTCAAGCCTCTCTCCTAATGCATTTGCTAATATCATTGCAATATGCTGTGGCGTTCCTATCTTGCAGCAAGCTTCTATCATTTGAGGCAAAGTTGGTTGTTTATGAGGTAAAGCTCTAATAACTTGCTTGCATTCTTCATTGGCATTCTTAAAGGCGAGGGTTTGAAGCACATGAGGATAAGCTACATCATTACTACATTGCCTTTTGATGGCTTGTGTGAGACGGTCTATGAACGAAGTGTACGGCTCTAATGTTCCTTGTCTTATTTCTGAGAATATACCTTCTGGGCTTCCTTCTGGCTGGATTTGTAGGATTGCTTTTTGAGCTGCATTTTTGATGTCATTGATTACCGCTGGAGGTAGGCCAGCTGCTTGATCTTCAGGCCTATCGTGAGGTGCATCCCCTGCCAAATGTGCTATTGTAAGAGCAGCATTTGGACCTCCAGCATAGGTTTCCAACAATTTATTGAGAAGCCTTCGCCACTTCATGTCCCACAGAATATACTGTGACTCTGTTAAAATCACAGACGCAAAGTATCTGCAGTCATATGGAACTAAATAATAATTATAAAAGGTCCCCTCCAATAGTTGTTTAAAGTAGAGAGAGCCTAGGCCACTGTCTTTGATTGCTTTTCTTAAATCTTTGATCTCATCATATGTCATAGGTTCTCCTCTTGGATTTGCATTCTGTTTTCCATATCTGACTGGCATGGCTATAAGTTGCTCTTTGGCTATGTCAAAATCCCTATCCTTCAATGCTTTCCTCCTTATTTCTATCCAATTAATGGTATTTATGCTGTCTTCTAAATGAACTCTTGATTTAAAATTTGAGGAGTCCCTCGTATCTGAAGAAGGTAAATTTTGTTCTTTCTTTGGAGATAGTTGAACTATATTCTGTATATCTGCTTCTTCTGCCTGTGTTTCTTTGAAAAACTGCAAAATTGTCTCTTCTCCCCCCCTCATTGCAATAATAGAGGCGGCGACAGGTGGTGCTGCAGCAGGAGGCCAGTGGTCTCTTTGGTCACAAAATCGCATCTGTGACAATGTGCATGTGTGGCATTGGGGGCTGCCATCTTGTTGTACAGAACATGTGTGCAGGGCGTTGTCATTTTGCTCTATGTCACTTCCTTCCAAGGCATCAGCATCTCGGGGTACGGAAGCAAGTGTGCATTCCCTGGAATGCAAGGAACTTTTCTCGCCGGCATCATGCTTAAAATTTGGGCTTACAGGAATTTCTGCCGAATTTTCGGGTTGAAATTCAGAAAAGCTGGTGGCTATTTCACAATCATTGTTCTCGTCACTGTGAATTTTGTGCATGAGGTCAGGGGGGCTGCGTGTGGGCTTGATGTCGCTGGCCATGGGTGCAGCGGGGCCAGATGGGAGAGGGGGGTGGGAAACCACGGCGACAACAGGGGGGTTGTCCACAGATACTTCTGAAACCCTTTCCGAAATAGAATGGTTGTTCATATCTTCATTGAATTCAGTACCCAGCATAACAGATGTCTTTATTTACTCTGTGAGTACAGCTCTATGATTAAATTTGAATGCGTCTCTGTCTCTTTGAAATTAAATTCTAAAGAAACCCTCTGAAGTTCACCTGAACCTGATGATCCCTTGGCTCCTTGCCAAGCTGCCCACAGCACGTGTTTGGAATGTCAGGGTTGTTCTGGGACATGCAGTTTCTTTCAACTGCCTCTACTCCTGCAGTTCTTCAGGGTCTCCACTACTTCATGTGATTCTTCTCGTCACTAGCCAGTTTACTTTTCAGGTCTTCCGTTTGTCTTCAGTCTGTGTTGTGGCTGCTTCATAATCATAAGGGTAGGCTTACCCAAGTTTGGGTGCTGGCTGTGGGCTTATTGCTCCCACGATGCAATGTTCAGCAGGGATTCTTTCTTTTTCTGAATGAGGCAGAGAGATGAGACTTCTAGTTGCTTTAGAAAGTGCGCTTTATTTTTCTTGTCTTCTGCAGAAAACATGAATTCTTGTTCCAGGTGTTGAGAGCATGGCTAGAAGTCACAAGACTTATAGTTACAAGGCCTTTTAAGGACTTATTAACCAATAAATCACAGCCAACAGAGATATTTACGTTATTAGATCAATACTAAGAAACTTTGTCTAATTCCAGTCACCTTCCCAAGCCAATTCTCTTCTGACACACAGACCTATTCTAAGACTTCTTGTCACCTTGGCAACTACTTTTCTTCTTTTTATATCTTCAACTCTATAGTTAAGCTTTTCTCAACATGTCTCTGCATTAAGCTTAAAATCTACATTCTTGCCTCTAGCACCTAAGCTGGGAAGCTTTTCCCAAGGCCTCAGGTCAAATCCTGTGTTCTTTTCTAAACTTTGATTTACAGGCCCAATGTTCTGCGAATTCCTTGCATTTTGAATTCCAACAGCTAACAACAAAACACCCCTTCGAACTTGCTTACTCACATGCCTCTGTGCTGGATTTGGAGGATTCTTGGACTCTGATGCCACCCGGACCGTAGCCACTGCCCCTGAAAATGCCAGTGGTGTCGTAGCTGGGTCTTACTCAGTCCAGAGGATTCTCCAGAGGCCCTGCTAACTCTTTGTGGTTGCCAGAAACTAATGCCTTTTTCGGGGCTACCTAAAGATAGAGGCCAGACAAAATTAAGAGAATAAAAGCAGGTATATTTTGGGCAGACAAAACACCCACAGGGGCTACACCCAAAATGAACAATGAGTCTCAAGTTTTCCCACTTTTGTAATTTTGGTCCATTTGTATATTGGAGTTCAATCTCCCAGTTGCAGATTAAGCTAATAAAGACATTTTACCCCAGTTTGCTTCACCCCAACTCACTTTTGTTTCCACTTGTCCTAGGTTACAATGTAAAGATGTGCCCCAAAGTATGTATTCTATCACCATCTTCATAAACTGTTGAAATCAAAAAGGGCAGTGTTTTCCTTGTTTCCTTCCCCCGAACTATCTCCTGTTAACGGGCCCATCAATGCCTTGCCACATGACTCATAGATAACTCCCTCCAGGTGCCATTTCTGTTTAATGGACAATCAAGGACCATTGCAAGACTCATAGAGTGACATCAACCCATTGTGAGATGCTCTGCCCGGGGCGGGGGGGAGCCAAGCATCCCCTCCTGGTTATAATCTGGGTTTTGGGACAGAACAAGCAGCCCTTACCCACTGGTTTCCAGAGGACAAGAGCTACCAGACCTTTCTACAAGATCACTAGTTCAACAAGACCACTTCATCTGGACTGCTACTACCACCCTAACTAGCAAGGTGTCAGGTTGTATTCTGACTCTGTCAGTGGTTTTTCTTTTGTACTATTGCATGTATTTTATTTTTCTCTTTTTTCCTATTAAATTGTATTTCTGACTTGGAGTCTCTGACTGGTTTTGATTTCAAACTGGTACATATTTTTGGTGCCCAAGTGGGGCAACAAGGTACTGAGAAAAGCCAGAATTAGAAGTTTGTATTGTAGAAGCTAACTATTCACTATGATGCTCAACATGCTTATATGGGTCTTATATCTAGTTCTCTATATTTTTCCGCACATGGGGAACTATCTGCTGGTTGCAATGCTCCTGTGTAGATCAGGGTTTGGTATAAAAATTGTTTTAGTGGTCTATTATGTCTATTGCATTATAACCTCTGAGGCAATGAACATCATTCAGAATACATACCCAATTTTGTTTGCTTGTCCTAGTATGGGCTGCTATGTCTGAGGCCTCAACAATCACACCCAGCCCCTGGAGGACAGGTAAAGAATGTTTTTTCCAGCCTTTGAGGCCTGACACAGAAGTTTTTGGAAATGTTGAGTTCTCTCTGGATGCCAAGGACAGCATAGTGTTGTTGTTAGTTCTGCTTTGTCTTCTCTGCACAGCCTGCAACATGCTTAGAAAAATCTGTATGTTGTGGTGCAGTGGCTTCTTGAGGAAGAGGAAAAAAGAAGCAAAGCAACAGTGCAGCACCATCTGCACAGAATTTCACAAGGAGAAAAGAACCAAAACCAAAGTGTAATATATGATATAATGTAATTCTTGTAAATTGTAAATTAATGTGGAATAAGCAATGTTTGTATGAATAAAATAATAAAGAAAACTCAGAAACCCAAAAGAGAACCATGGACTAAAAGGACACAGATTGCTTCATCAAAGCATTGCAACAGCCAACAAAAGCAGAACAGGCCAGATTAACAAGTAAATAGACGTGGCCGCAATGGAGATGGCTCTCCCAGAAACCTTCCAGGGAACACCCAAATGATGAGCTCCCAACAAGCATCCACAATTAAGATAACCAGAGCCATCAGGAGAAAATACATCACTGTCCTAGTGTGACGTTATGGTGCTTGTATCTCCAATCGTGTGTTCTGGTTATGCTTGGTATTATGTCCTGTGCTTTCAGGACTGAATCTGAAAGTGAAGGTTTCTTTTTTCTTGTTATCAGCCAGCTCACCTCCCCCATGGTC